GGCAAGAAGGGGTACGGGCACGCGTAGGGCGCGCTCGCCGGGAACATGTAGCCGTCCAGCACCTCGTCCCCCGGAGCAGCCATAAGCGCAGCAGCTCCCGCCCACCGCCGCGCCCTAAATAGGCGGCCCCGCGGAAGCCGCTCCGCGCAGCTCCAGGTTCCCCTCCCGCGGTCCGCAAGGTCCCAGCCGAGGGCGCGCCATTGGCGACCCTCTCTCCGTGGAACGTTTGCACCTGGGGGTCGGCACCTACGCCAGCAGATCTGGAAAGAAGGCGTCCCTCGCGAGGCAAGAGCTAATGCGAGGTGAAGACTGCCCAGTGCCCCGTCCCCGTAATCAGCTGAGCTTGGGGGGTGGGGGGGGTGTGCCCACGCCCACGCTCAGAGGGCATCAGGTGTCCGCGCTGCCCGGCTGAGGCTGAGGCTGAGGCTGAGGCGAGGCGTTTCTGGCCAGTGGGCCAAATAGCTGCTGTTTAGGGTCTGATTCTTAGGATCTCAGAGTAGCGCTTATCTAATTATCTCCGCCGCTCTGCGACAGCTGCCGATTGAACCCTGTCTGTAAGTGTACAAGGAAAGCAGCTTCAGGCATCTGCCTCCTGGCTAATTGTTTCCTTCCCCCTTCTCAGGTCCTCTCCCCTCTTTACAAAGGGTGACCACGGGGGGTACTGATGATTACTGCTGTTCTAGGTGATTCTACAATTGCCCCTAACCAAGTCATTCTCCAAAAGGTAAACTGACTTGGGTTGTGTTTACATAAATGTAGAACTATTTAAAAATGCCTTGTCTGCTGTAAAAATGTTGGCTGTTCATTACTAACACATATATCAGCTCAAGTAATCAAGTACACTAATCTAATTTTCTCTGGTTTGATACAGGTTCGACAATAAAATACTATATTTCATTGTTTAATTGACCTGTTTGAGGATTTTTCTGAATACAGGTCAAAATTCAACATTGTTAAGTATTCACAAGTTGATTGAGCGAGCACAGTTGTTTTTACAGCGCTTACATTACTCATTAGGCTTTACAAATATAGTTTATCTTCACTAGTTAAGATAGTGCACCAAAATTCTACATTTCTGAAACCTGTTTTCTAAGAATTTTTAAGTAGTCTTAGAATTTGGTGATGGTGAAAAACAAAGAGCACATTTAACTGGTTCTGGCTGTGCTTTTGCAGCCCCAGGTGCGAGTTATATCATGACAATGATTTGTAATTTTGAAAATGCTTGGTTCATACGCCAAAGCAACCTTACAATAGAGAGCTCATAAATGTCACATATATGGGGACAGTCCCACTGTTGTCCTTTATGTAAACCATATGCACTACCACAGACCATAAACACGAAGTGATATTTCAAGATGGAAGCTTTGAGGGATCTCCATCTTTAAAGAGAAGTCTGGGTGGTCTCCATCATGATTAAATTATCTGCCTTTACTGTGCCATAGGAAGTGTCTGCCATTTCCTCTTCTTTAAGTTTCTTGTAAGAAATATCTGTATCTTCGTCTTCATCTAGAGGCTCTCGCTTGTGCAATACTTCACCTCCATACATTTTATATATCAAAACGAAAATCCCTGCTTCTGCAGACTGGAAGAGAGCATAGAGTAAGGGAAACATGTACATACTTCCTATGTACCGTGGAGGAAAGACCAGCTTCAGAATAGCAGTACAGAGCTGCACATTCTGACTACCTGTTTCCAGGCACACAGTCCTCTTGCAGTTGGGTGGAAGGTGGAAGAGGGTAGCTAAGCCATAGCCTGAGGCATAGCCTGCCAAAGGCATGAAAATGGCCACCACATAAACAGCTGCAGGAATTCTTGCCAGCAGCTCCGGTCCTAACATAGTGCCAGTCAGTATGAAAAGGACCACCAGCGTCACTAGCAGAGACCACAAGGAAACCTAGTAAAAAAAAAAAAAGGGGGGGGGGAGATAAGCCATCATCAATAAGATAGTTGAAGAGGAGGACAAGAAAATCTTAGGCACTTGGAAGAAGCGGGCCATCTAGTGCGAGCTCTCACACAATGTCTTTACAGAATATTTATGAAGATGGGTGCAGGACCTCTTCAGGAGGCAGCTAGACAGCTTGAATTGTTTAGAGGCCTGTCCATCTGTCCAGTGACAGCGTACATTCAATCACAGCTAGCCATTGTCTGGGATAGGCCCTCGGAAGCAACACAAACCAGACTATTTCTCCAGTCAAAGAGCACTTCCATAGTTTAAAAGAAAAACAGGAGAAGCCTACTCTTTCACAGGCAGGCTGTCCCCAGGCTTTCAGCCTCTGTCATATAAATTTGATTAGGAGTCTGTCCTGAGCATGACATTTGTGAATGAGTCTCTTGAAAACACAAAACAATTAGCATGGAGCCCAATACAGCAGGTATGAGATGATGGGTCAGTGGAGTAGACAAATGGGTATTTTTTCCCCTGAACAGGACTCCATAAGAAATCAGTTCTGGATTTATACTCAAGGGAAGGGGCCACTAATATTTATGAAATGTTATATTTTTCATCTTCAAAATAATTTATGGATCACAGAACTGTTAGCAATACTGAAACAATTACCAACTCTTAGATAATATAAGAGAAAAAATATAAGCATAAGCTTTGAGGAATTCTTTACAATTATGCACTCCTACTTTTTAAAATCTGGTCATAAGAAGCCTCTCATCTATAAGACTTATAATGCTCAGGAATGATTATATATAATAGATGAATTTGAGATATGATAGTAGAACTGATTGTGTCAGTGATATATTTCTCACTGTAGATTCTGTAATAGTAAGGTGAAAATCTAAGAATTTCTCTCTTATTTTTCCTTCAGACTGGTGCTTAGTTTGCTTTTTAAAATAGAAGACAGGGTATTTGGTTTCCCTGGTGGCACAGGGGTTAAAGTCTCAGTGCTATCAAGCTATTGCCTGTCATTGCAGCATATGTTTGATCCTGAGTTCTATCTCTGGCCAGAGAGTTGACCTACGTGGCACAGCAGACCTCTCCTGTTTATCCTGCGGCTCCCCTTACTGTATTTCAGTAGATCCATCTGTTCTATTCCCCACCTGTTCTAATCCCCACTTTGTCTCTGGTGAATCCTCTCATCTCCCCCTACCTCTGTACCTCTGGCCTACACCCAGTTCTTGTATGCATAACTAAATTAAATTTTTTTTTTTTTTAAAAAGAAGATGGGTTGTTTATAGGAGAAACTGGAAAGCCAGAAGGACAATTTAAGGTTTGCTTATGGTTCCCTGGCTTTCTAAAAGGAAACTCCTTTGGAGTCTATGGAATTGGGAAATACTTATTGTCTTTTAAAAATTAATTATAGTTTATCTGGTCAAAAGGCTACCTTACAGGATGCTGAAAAAAAAATTTAACATACTCATAGTACAAATGTCCAGAAAGCAGTCAAGCTATTATAAATCCACATTTACATTGTTTCAAAGTATGTTCACCTCAAAATCTTTGAGAAATCTGATTCTCTATTATGAATATATTGGCTCCAAAGTTTCCTTTGAACTATTTTAAATCAATGGGTTGAACACTAATGTTGAATGTCAACTTAAAGTGCTTGCAAAAGTATGCAAATGTAGAAGTATATCTTAAAGAGTATGCTGGTTAAGGAATGGGTAGGTTCTCATTAAACTCTAAGTTAGTCGATATTATTGAGTTGTCTATTATTTAAAAATAGTTACTTTTAGCAGGGAAATAACCTTTTTAATTCACTTTTCCTTAAAATACCTTGGTGGTGCAACAGGTTAAAGCACAGAACTATGAAGTTAGCACAGCCACTGTAGCATAAGTTCCATCCCAGGCCAGGGAGCTGACCCACATGGCATGGCAGACCTCTCCTGTCTTACCTGCTGCTCCTCTCAGTCAATCTGCCAGTTCTGTTCCCCACTCTGTTCTGGTGAATCCTCTCACCCTCTACACCTCTGGCCTGTACCCCAGTTCTTGCATGCATAAAAAAATCTTAAAAAAAAAAAGCTGATGCTTATAGGAATTTACATGTATTCACATTAATTGTATTGGTTCAGTGATTAAACTTAATAAGTTATTGATGCATCTCAAGATTTTTGGGGGTATATTATATCAAATGTATTCACATGTACATACACATTTATTAATATGAAAAAATAGAGGATTCTTTTCTGTACATATATCCAGCCTTTAGTAAAAGAAATTGTACTCTATAATATACATATATATGAATATATAGAGAATATATATTCTCTATTATGAATATTTATATATTCATAATAGAGAATCAGATTTCTCATAGATTTTGAAGTGAACATACTTTGAAACAATGTAAGTATGGATTTATAATAGCTTGACTGGTTTCTACTTTCTGGACATTTGTATTATGAGTATATTCAATTTTTTTTTCAGATTCCTGTAATGTATATATTATAGAGTACAATTTCTTTTACTAAAGGCTGGGTATATGTACAGAAAAGAATCTTCTATTTTTTCATATTAATAAAAGTTAGCTCCTCTATATAATCAGATTCCTTTAGAAAATAAAGTAAAATACAAAAGATTAGGTCTTCTTAAATCTACATAACTGAGGCATTTTAGTGACTTTCTTTCTGTACATGTCTAAAGGAACTTACCTGTGCATTTTACAGTAATTAGTCATGCATTCTATTTGACCAACTTCCTAAAATGAAACTCTTGTTCATGGTTTACTCTTATTATTATTTATAAATTTTTAAAGAAAACTTCACAACTATTTAAAAATTTTCTTCAATTATTAAAAATACTCTATTGCTATTATAAAAAAACAAAAATATTGTACTGCTAAAAATAGTACTAGTTTTCTTTTAAAAATAAAGTATTTTGAAGGAACATCTTACAGAATTTCTCAGAATAAGCGTTCCACTTTGAAAACATAGTGATGCACTTCTAAAATGCTGCAGATTCTATTAAAATAGTTTTATTTTTCCTGCTTTGATTTAAGGAATACACAATTTATTCATGGAAAATTGCTGCTGTATAAGTGAGTATCTTTTTCCGCATGATATATTAACAATTCTCTTATGCTGTTCTTAATTAAGATGTGTCTTAATTAAAGCTCTAATTTTTGAAATCCGCAAATGTAAAAATTATCTCTGGGGAAAACTTTTTTCCAAGTTTATTCATGCTTCCAAGTCCTTTCCTCCTCTGCCCCCATTTCCCTAGCTTCTAAGCATTTCAGCTATGGGCCAGAGACCAAGGACCCCTAAGGGTGGAAAGGGAAGAGACCTCACCTTCACGATGTAGTCAGCCACCCGGTTGTATTTGTAGCGAATGAAGATGCCCAAGCCTATAGGGATGAGGGTGCTGCAGAGCGTCAGGGTGATCGCCCCTAGCGGCAGTAACTGCACCAAAGGGGTGTTGATCCAGGCCCGACTGTAGATCCACAGGCACAAGGGCATCAACACCAGGGCCAGGAGCGTGGATGAGATGGTCATGATGATGCTGCAGAAAGGAGAGGGGACAGAAATCAGAGTGGGCATTCCGCCAAAGAGCCTCTCTTGTTCGTTGGGTAACCTGGCTCTTGCACGCTGGTTTGGAAAAGAAAGAGGAAGTCCACAGCCTCCCTGGCTTGAAGTCTGGGGAGAATCTGCTTCATTCCAGGATAGTGCCAAGAGCAGCACCTCTAAACCCAAACAAAACATGAACCTTGGGGAGGGGAAAAACTAAAAAAAGAAATCAACACTTTTTTATGGTACTCAGCTGCATGATTCTGAGAGCAGGGAACATCTCCCCTTTTTTTAATCCTCCCTCCAAATACCCTGTTAGACATGGTAAAGCTGCTGAATACAACTTGTTGGGGTGAACAACTCATTACGTTGTCCTCTAAAGGGGATTCCTTTCTATTGGAGCCTCTAGCCCAATTTTGATTTTACATTTTCAGTTCATCTTCCCAGTTCCCTTTGTCTTCCAGTGGTCTAAGACCTGTGCCTACAAACCATCACGGCAGAGGAGGGTGAGAGAGCTGTGGTGGTGCCTTGGATGAGACACTGAGGTCCATAATGCAGCAGGTCCCCATGGGGAGCTTTCCCCTTCCAGCACCACGTCTACTTCTCTGCCTTGACTTCTGCAGCCCAAGCTGCAACTCTTCCTCCACTCTGGTCTTCCCTCTTCCTTGCCCCCTTCCAACCGCCTTTCCACCCTCTCTCCTTGAGCCCATGGATGTAAAAGGTGGACTGGGATGAGAGAGACGCCTAAGGACCAGTCAGCTCTGTACCTGAGGTTCATGTCGCCGTCCACCAGCAGGGACATAAGGTTGGAGAGATTCCCGCCAGGACAGCAGCCACACAGGAGCACCGCCACCGCGGCCACCTCATCCAGCGAGAAGATGAGGGCCAGCAGGAAGGCTAGCAGCGGCAGGAAGCCGAACTGGCAGAGCGCGGCCAGCACGGCGCCCACCGGCCGGCGGACGTGCGCCCCGAAGTGGTTCACGTCCACCGTGCAGCCCAGGCCCAGCATGGTGATGCACAGGGCCGCGCCCACGAACACGTTCAGTCCGTGGTTCAGCGGCGTGTCCCAGAACGGGGGCTCGTGGGGGGCCCAGGGCCGAGGGAACGAAGAGGCGCCGAGGGTCCCCACGCCGCCAGCGAGGCTACTGGTGGTCGTCGGCTCCGGGGTCGGAGTGGCGCCGGGGCTGAAACTGACGCTGGGGCCGGGCCCGAGACTGAGCCCCGGGCTGGGGCTGGGGCTGGAGGTGGGAGCGAGAGGGAAGTCCGAGCCGGGGCTTAGGCTGCTGGCGTTGGGCGACAGCGTGTAGTTGTCCGGCTGCAGAGAGGACGGGCCGAAGAGCAGGGTGGCATTGTCGGAGCCGTCCATGGCGCTGTCGGCGGAGGCTGCGGTCTGGCCCCCGCTCCTGCTGCGGACTCCTGATCCCTCCCGCCGCGCGCTCTCCCTCAGTCTACGGCTGTCGCCGCCGTCGGTCGGTCTATCTGTCCGTCCGAACCCTCCAAGCTAGCTGGGGTTCCAAGCTTGGGCGGCTCCGGCTGAGGTCTACACGGCGTCGGGAGCGGCGGGTCGATCTGCTGCTCCGGGTCGCCGACGCCCGCTGGCAGGCACTTAAGAGAGCGCAGCCCCGGAGGGTGAACCCAATAGCTCGGCCCCCGCGCCCAGCAGGCCCCGCCCAGCCGCCGAGTCCCCTCCTTTTAATCACCAGTAAGTGGTTCTGTTAGAGTGTAGCCAGGGGCGGAACAAAGACCTGACAAAGGACAAGGAAAAAAAAAAAAAAAAAAAAAACCGTGCCTGGCTGCCGATCAAGTTCTCTGATGGGCTCGGCCTCGGTGGTAATGAACTCTGGAGACCCAGACACACAGGCAGGAGAAAAGCTTACTGATGCATGCACATAAACCCTGCACTGCTCAAGCAGCCTGCCTCCCTGAGCTCAGAACGACGCCAGACTCGGTGTGGAGCAACAGTATATGGCTTTAATTTGCAAACAATTTTTTAAATATGATTTTTAAATTCAGACGTAAAGGAGAAAGTAGCACTAGTGATGGCAGGGTTTGAGCCTGGTGTTGGGCAAGTGTGAGCGCGCTATTTGACGCTCCCGACAGAGCCGTGGGAGAGACACTGTTAGTTTGGTTTTTACACTCGAGGAGTCGGAGGCACAGGGAAATCTCAGCCTCATCAACCAAACCCCCAAGCACCTGACTGAGTGTGAACCATAATATGTTGTTAGAGTATAGTGAAGAGCGCGACGAAGAAAAAGACTGTGAAAAATATGTATTTTGAAAGTTACTGGCAGATGGGAAGAGGATGTTTCGGTGATCACAGATTTATGAAGTGATTTCGGTTTTACCCTGGCATTAGGATTAAAGGGCTGAAAAGAAATAAAGTGGTGAGATTCACTGCTTCAGACAGGCTTATCCCCAAACAAATCAAATTCAGAATTCCTGGGGACGTTGACTCAACTTGAAGTCAGTCTCACTAAATGCTTCTACAAAAGCATCTAGTCTGGGCATTAAGGCAGCGGCACCATTTCAGAAAGTATCTGGCTATCTGGAGTGGACAGATGAGTTGGGCCAGCTAAGTTTTCTAGGTTGACATCAAGGGTCTGGGAGCAGCCAACATGCTAGAATGAAGTCTCCTGATGGGGTCTTGTCTGTACTCCCTTTTCCCACCCTACAGAATCCAGGTGACTTCCTTTTCCCAGTGGTGGAGGGAGTCCATGTGTACATTTTCTCCTTCCCAGATCTCATGAATATTTCCGGGAATGTGGACCATAAGAATGAATTCAAAGCACATTTTATTCTTAATCACAAACAAGTCATTTATTTCCTCTCCTAGACTATAATTCCAGCAACAAAGAGCTTCTGCAGGCATTTAGGAAATTAACATATTCTCTTACTTCCTCCAAACATTAAACCCCCAAAACAATGCAGTGACTCCAGATGACTTTGAAGGCAGTGGGATAAATATGACCCAAAATAGAATCTTTTCATTTAGGTCTTTAAGTTTTCATTTAGGTTTATATAAACAAAAGAAAGATAGCCAGATATATAGTGAAATATACTACCCAAACACTTTTAGTCAGTATATCCAGAGAGACAGAAGGAGAAGGCAGGTAAGGAGAAGATACTACTGACCCTTTCCATGCCTGGACCCTCTGGTCAGATAGGACAAGAGGAGGAGGTGAGGACCATTTCTGTGGACACCACTCCCAGTGGTCCCCTCCTCCTGTTAATGAAATTAAAATCCACAATCAAATTAAAGAAGCAGTCACTTGAGGCAGACAACTCATCCAACTAGTTCCTTCTGGGCCAGGGGGAGGGTTTGGGATTGTACAATGATTGTACAATGGGGGAAGAGTGAAAAGCAGCAACGGATGGGCTTGGTCTGTAAATGAAACCATCACCCTAACTTTGCAGTCCTGGGGACTTCTTGGGCCTGTAGACCTCATGTCTCTTCTGCTGATGTGCTTATTTTATTGTCAGTATAAAGAAAACAGGTTTATGCCATCCTCTTCTTTTTGAGTTCCTTTACTATTTAGGAGAAACCCCCAGAACAGGCATCCCTGGTGGCACAAGGAATTAAGTCTCAGCACTTGGAAGCTCTCCACAGCCACTGCAGCACCAGTTTGATCCCTGGGCAGTGAGCTGACCGCAGATGGTGCACAGATCTTGCCTGTCTTGATCCTCCCATCAGCAGCATGTTTCAATCATATTTACTTTTCTGTTCCCCACTCTGTTTCTGGTGAGTCCACACCTCTGACCTGTACCCCCATTCTTGTACAAATAAATACATCTTTAAAAAAACACCCAAAACCCAGAGCTAGTAAACAGTTGATTTCTAGGTGTCGGGATATTGATGAGCGGGCTTGGGTCACTTAGTTTCCTTAACTGTCTTTCCTTTACTCTTGCTGCCTCCCCAGATTGGCCTGGCCCACCCAGTAGGGAGACACTGCATAGAAGAAGGAGATAACAACGTAGCACTATAAATTCCTTTAGAACCTGTTGCATACCATACGCCAAAACTAATACCAGAGAGGTGAAAGAGTTAATAATAATAATGCAATACAATACTGGAGGATAATATTGGTTAGCATTTGTCTCCTCTTTGGATAAGGAAAATCTCCTAAAACAAGCAAGCAAACAAACAAAATGTACCAGAAGAAATCCTAATAAGCTCAGTAGATATGCTACATCAAAAATTTTAAACTTTGATGTAAAAGAAACAGCATTAAAAAAAATAAAAGGAAGGGCCCTCCCTGGTGGTGCAGCAGGTTAAAGCACTGCACTGAGAAGCTAAAGCCACTTCCGCATGAGTTCGATTCCTGCCTGCCCCGGAGGTGACCACATGGTGAGGCAGACCTCTCCTGGCCCGCCCGCTGCTCCCCTCAGCATGTACTTCATCCATCTGCCTGTTCTGCTCCCCACTCTGTCTCTGATGAAGCCTCTCACCGCCCCTGAACCTCTGGCCTGTACCCCAGTTCTGTATGTACAAATAAAATAAATCTTAAAAAAATAAATAAATAAAAGGAAGGGCCCTCCCTGGTGGCACAATGGATTAAAGCACAGCATCCACTTCAGCACAAGTTCTATCCTGGCCAGGGAGGTGATCCACATGGCGCGGCAGACCTCTTGGGTCTGCCCGCTGCTCCCCTCAGCCGTGTACTTCAGTATATCTACCTGTTCTGCTCCCCACTCTGTCTCTGGTGAATCCTCTCACCTCACCCCCACACCTCTGGCCTGTACCCCAATTCTGTAAACATAAATAAATCTTTAAAAAAAGAAGAAAGGAAGTTACAAAATAAGAAAAAATTATAACATAAAACCAAGAACAAATATTGTTAATTTATAAAGCACTTTACAAATTAATGACAAATAACACATATGGCAAAAACGCAAGTGATTTGTTTAATCACAAGAGATCACGAAACATATTTATTTAAATAATCCATTTGTCTCCTCTTTGGATAAGGAAAATCTCCCTAAACAAACAAGCAAGAAAACAAAATAGAAGAAATACTAATAAGAAGCTCAGTAGATATGATTACAACAATAATTTTAGGTCAAAAGAACAAGAAATTATATTGATGCAATCCAGTGTCATTTTTTTTCCGTTGTTGGAAATGATTGAAGTAACTGATACTATGCGCTAGCAGCAGGATACTGTCGATTGGCACTCCACAGTGCTGATAGTGAGGATATATTCTTTCTCCAAGAAAACTTGGTAGCTGATGACCATCCTGACAAGAGCCCTAAGAATGTGTATCTCCACTGACCCAGTAATCCTAATACTGGGTATTTGTGGGGGGATGGGTCAGGAATTAAAAATAAGAGTTACGTTGAACAGTTACTATATACTACTGACTCTCATAAACCTTTAGATAGATTACCTCACTTAATGCTCACAATAATGAGTTAGAACGTTGCTAAGTCACCCTTAGTGGGGAAGGAGCCAAGAACTGAACCAAAGCTTTTGGGTCCCAAAGCTGGACGCAATATGGTTACATAAATCAGCATGCCCTCATGCAGCTGGTATCAGGAGGCATTTCTCATCTGATAAACTGAAAAGGAAAAAAACAATATCTACGAAGCTCTGGCAGGATATTAAACTGAGACTTTATTTGATCTGAACATGAAAAAAATCTCCAGTGATATTTTTCAAGCCTCCCATCTGAAAAATTACCTCTTGTTAAATAACCAGACAACACAATAAATAGCAAAAGGGACTTTTTAAAAAATAAATTTTATTAAAATAAGTAGCAAAGGTGACTTTTATGAAAGAAATTTTATTAAAATTAGATTCCACTAATTGGTTTCTTGCCTTTTAAGTATCATAAAGCAGAAAAACCATTAACAATTTTAAATTGAGGTTTTTTAAAGAATTTTTTAAAACATTCTTTAAAGGTCAATTTCTCTTGGAATAATTAAAAATTTCTTGTCCATTATATAAGCAAATCATTTAAACTTGGCAAGTAATATGTATTCTCTAGAGTAGAAATGAATATTGGCTTCATATGATCCAAAGAAGAGACTTTGGTCTGTTTTATATTTCATACTTTTTTTTTTAAGATTTTATTTATTTATGCATACAGAACTGGGGTATAGGCCAGAGGAGCAGGGGAAGAGAGAGGATTCACCAGAGACAGAGTGGGGAGCAGAACAGGCAGATTGACAAAGTACACTGCTGAGGGGAGCAGTGGGTGAGACAGTGAGGTCTGCCGTGCCATGTGGGTCACCTACCAGGCCGGGATTGAACTTGTGCTGAAGCGGCTTCGGCTAGCTTCACAGTGCTATGCTTTAACCCGTTGTGCCACCAGGGAGAGTCCCATATGTTATTTTTTGATCTCAGAATGAATTGGTCTTGCTATTCAATAGATCTAGAAACTATTTCCCAGGGCTGTAGTTTACCAGTATCTGGTTTGCCCTATTTTTCTAGAGTATTGAATGGTGGTTATTAGAGAAAGTTGTTGTTTTCTCCACCATCACTTTTGCAAAATC